TAGTCCTGCTCCAACCTCTTCTCTTCCTTTTGCCAGTCTTCTGCTGAATCAGGCCCTGGGAAGCTGGAGATTCCTAAAGTCTCTATCTCAGTTCTTGTTTCTGCAGGAAAAAATTCAACGTGTAGACCAGAGTTAGGTAACAAAGCAAGAGATTTATTAACAGATTAGAGGAAGGAGATTTATTAACAGATTAGAGGAAGGAGAGAAAAGCTGTCAGAGAAGAGAGCGGCCCCAGTGGATAACCACTGAGGTGGCAAGAAGCATGTGTTTATATATGGGTATAGTGGTCTAGGAGTTGGGGTTTGGCCACTGGGTGTCTCCATGTTGTGTCTCTTGCAGAGTGGCTGGGCAGGAGGAGGTCTCCTAGGTTACTGAGGACCACTGAGTTTTCCTAAGTTACCTGGCTTAGATTTTCAGATCCAGCTTTGGCTTGTTGCCTTAGCATTTTATTATTGTTCGGGTGTTCTGAATATTCCATTTTCAATTGGGTTGGGAGGGCACCCTAACGCCAACCAATTGTTTCTCAGTCAAATTGATAAATGAACTTATGTGACCTGGGCTGGGAGAGTCGGGCACCTCCTGTTTCCAACTGATTGTTCTTTATTCATATTGGTAAATGGTCTTGGGCATCTATCTGGGTTTGGGCGGTTTGGGGCATATTGTTCCTAATTAACTACCTGTACCCATTTCTAACTTCCTCACTCAATCCCCCCTTCAGTGTAGTGTCTCTAAGGGAAAGTACATGATGACTGTTCAGGCTGCTTCTTGTTGGGGGGGAGCAAAGGATGCAGCAGTCACAGGTCACACCCAGAAAGGGGTTCATCCATAGGGCCCCAATAGAAATCACTGGGGATGGTTGTGCTTCGGTCAGTCTGGACCACCAGCTGGAGCTGAACTGCATGTAACTTCTAAGAGACAAATTTGACAAGGAGGTTAAAAAATGACAAACCAAAGAGGAAAAGCAGCAAGATTGCTAGCGAGGGGCCCAGGAACAGGAAGAACCAAGCAGTGGAGGGGATTCAGCCTTGATCTGATCCTAGAGTTGGATGGCAGAAGTTCCTTAAATTTGTCAAGCCACAGAGCCTTGTCATTCAGGGTACAAATGCCCTCTTACATCTGTGAGCTGGAGTCAATGTAGCTACAACAGGTTTTATTAATAACAACACAGACCCCATCTTGCTCTGCAAAAAGATAACCTAAAGCTAGGTGATTATCCATAACTACAATGGCCAGGCATTGAAGGATGGCCTCCAGGTTTTTGAGAGAGTGCCCTGTTCAGAGTGAGATGTCAGTCACTATTTTTTTTTAAAGATTTATTTATTTATTCATACAGAACTGGGGTAGAGGCCAGAGATGCGGAGGGTGAGAGGATTCACCAGAGACTGAGCAGGGAGCAGAACAGGCAGATCAACGAAGTACACTGCTGAGGGGAGCAGCGGGCGGGTCAGGAGAGGTCTGCCACACCATGTGGTCACCTCCGGGGCAGGCGGGAATAGAACTCATGCGGAAGTGGCTTAAGCTTCTTAGTGCTGTGCTTTAACCGGCTGCGCCACCAGGGAGGGCCCATCAGTCACTATTTTAAGAACCCAAAGGATCATCCAGAGGAAAAAAAGAAGAGCCAAAATACTCTGTTCCTCCACACAAAAATTCCCTTCCCTCCAGAGGGGGAGAGGAAAAGGAGATAGATTTAACCAGCACAAGGCCCCCTGGAGAAAAAATGAGGGCATCTTTCCATTAACTGTTTTGGGGTCTGTTCGAATTTAGTCAGAACTGTTACATGCTCTACCTGGAAAGCAGTTTCAGGGCCAAGCAATAAATTATTAGCCAATATTTCTAAAGGAACCCATCATCTCAGGGAGTGTTTTGAACCCAAACAAGGGCGGCTGGAAGTAAGGTGGGCCTTGGGAGGCGGATTTCCAGTGTCAGCTTTCTGAGGAGCCTTTTAAGAATCGCCTTCATCTTTTCAACCTTTCCAGATGGTTGGGACCTCTAAACACAGTGGAGGGGAAACTGGATTCCCAAGACCCTGAACACTACTGGGTGACTCCAGCTTTGGAGACGGAGCCATTGTCACTCTGCAGCCATCTGTGCAGTCCCATGGGAGGGGCAATTTCCACTAGCAGTACCTTTACAACCCTGGCAGCCTTTTGTGTTCTACAGGGGTTAGTACATGTGCCTGCCAGAACCAGACGGTTACTGCTTTCCCCTAGCTTTAGGTACATAAATGAAATCCATTTCCCAATTTCCCCCCGGGAGGGAGAAGAGGGACAGGGAATCTATGAGTTTGAAGATTATTTTTTAGGCATAGTTCACAACGACCAACTGCCTGTCTGTCTTAGATGAGTCTTTTCCAGTGAGTGCTGTTGACTACATTGACACAAGTTTTTTCCTCCAGGGTAGAAGAATTGATGTAAGCTCTTAAGAATCTTCCAGAGCAGAGGAGAGGAGATGCAGCTTGCCCGGCTCGGTCTGGAACCACCCGATGGGGAGAGAGTATACCTAAGGCCCACTCCTGCTTGTCAAGAGTGTACTGAGGCCTAAAAGACAGTGTGAGGGTTCCCAGGTCGACAAGGCTCTCACTGGTCTGGAAGAACTGTATGCCGTGACTGTCCACTGGGTGGCAGTATTAGCCTGTTTGTTTCCCAAACTGTCTAGGCCTTCCCTTCCTGGTAGTGTATGACCATCACTTCTGTGGGGAGATATACAGCAGTCAGTAATTGCTCTATCTCCTGATGGTGTCTGTCTTTCTTTCCATACAGCCCCATGTCGAGAAGGACTGTGTGGATGGTGCTCACTTTCCTTTGCTGAGGACCAGGGCAAGGGTGAAGGCTATGAATTCAGCCAGCTGGGCACTAGTGCCAGAGGGCAAGGCTGAGCTTTCAATTTTTCCACCTAGGGTGACTACTGCTTAGCCAGCCTTTCTAACTCCTTCATCTACAAAGGAGCTGCCATCCATGAAGAGGGTCCAGTCAGGGGAGTCAAGGGCCTTGTCCTGCAAGTCACCCGGAGCTGGTAGGTCTGGAGCAACATTTGGCCACAATAGGGCTTCAATCCCCCCTCCTCCTGGTCAGGGAGAAAGTTGCCTGGATTGCGGGAGGAGCACAATTTAATAGTGACATGTGAGCCCTTAATTGTCTGATCTCTAAGGAGCCGCTGTCAGACTGCCAAAGTTCCCTTTATCAGTTTAAGTGGACTACAAGGTGCAAAACTGAAAGGTCCTTTCCAAGGGTTAATTTAAGGATGTCAGGGGCTGAGGTGCCAATGCCACCACTGCTTTCAGGCAGGCAGGCCACCCCTTAGCTGCCAGATTCAACTCTTAAATACCCCCACCGATTTGGGGCCAGAGGTGGGAGAAGGGTGG